TTATTATTATTATTATTATTATTATTATTATTATTATTATTATTATTATTTTACAGTTTTCTGCTTTATTTTCCATGGAGCTAGTTTTTACATCCACAATTCTGGTCTCATCTGCGCTGACTCCAGGGTCCAGGTTTTCAGGTCTGGCGTCCACGTGTCCATCGAAGCCTCACCCACACCGCCCCTAGTGGGCAATCCCCCACCTACGCACCCGCCCACCACAGCCTGATCGAGCCTCACTGTACCGGGCGATGCTCTTATTCCCCGCAAGAGGAGATGCACACAATTCTGCATCGTCACGCCCACCTCCCCAAAGGGGCGGCTTGTCTCTCCAGTCTGGGAAACAGGCTGCCACAAAGGAGTAGGAAGGAGACTGGGGGAGAGCCGGTTTTCGAATGAAAAGCCTGGGGTCTGAAAGTCCCGCCCTGCTGTCCCACCGCACCGCTGTCCCGTTACCCTGCACCTTCCGCCAGCCAAACGCTCCAGCGCTCTTCCCTGTCTGTTCTACCCACAGTCACTCCCGTTGGTCCTTCCTGTCAAGCCGCCTCCCCACAAGGTCCTGACTCCTCCTACTGACTCCCCACACTCCGTCTCCACAGTTGACTTTACCTTGAACGATCTATGCCCTAGGGGACACCCCAGCGTGAGCCACCCGAGAGGCAAAAGGAACCACCCCAGTCCTTCCTTAACGTCCTTTCTCCAAAGCCCCCCCGCCCCGTTACCTTCCACCCACAACTCACAAAAGGGAAATGCCATTGTCTCTGAGGGTACGCAGTGAGTCTGCCTCACTCCTGCATGCTGAGGATTCGAAGGAGGATCGTGTACACGTCTTGTTCCATGTAGCCCTGGGGGTGACAGGAAAGACAGGGAGGAGGATGATGAGCGGGTGGCTGTGGGGAAAGGCAGGGGAGGGGCAGCCTAGCAGTCATCACCTCTCAGAATCCCGTAATCCTTGACAAGTTCTCCTCAAGCTTGTCTGCTGTGTTATGGCTCTGGTTTGCAATACCTGTGACTGAACAGGGCTTCCTGCCTACAGGGCAAGTGCTCTGTCAATGAGCTAGATCCCTGACCTCATTTGTAACGTAAAATATTTAGCTTTTCTATGGCTGTCTTCCCGTCTTCACAAGGAAGGGAATGATGTCCGCTCTTCAGGATTGCTGTGAAGAGCAAGCTAGGGCTAGGAAGCAAACACCCGCTGCGTGATTGCAGCTCCACACTTCATCATCCCTAAGAGAGGGGCAGGGACCACCTACTCTGCCTTGATTGAGGCAAAGTCACCCCAGGAGAACCTGAGAGGGGTGTGGGGACAGGGAAAATCCTCACAACTGATGAGGGAACTGGAAGGAGAAGAAGAAACGCCTCCTCCTTCTACGCTCACACAGAGCCTCTTCTGCCACTGGGTCCAGGGGTCTGAAATAATGGCAAGTATGTATGAGAGAGAGGACGGGCAAGCGTGGCATTCCTGCCCCCAGCTCTGCACTTCCGCTTCCTCCCAGACTCCACCAAGCTCACCCGAGCAGCGTTCAGGAGATGATTCCTGTAGGTGGTGATGATCTCTTCGTGGTTCTTCTGGGAATCCTGGGAGAGAGCACACGTGGGTAGTCTCGTGCACACCCACCGTGCATGAGGAAAGGGGTAAGGCGAAGCTTCCTGGCCCATCACTGGTCCAGCCTGGCTAGCCTCCTGAAACTCCCTACTTCCGCTCCCGCCCACCTCATCCCTACCACCACCCACTTCCCTGTAGGCCAAAACAAACCTGCAGCTGCAGGGCGAGGTGGGCATTCTCCCCCCGGATTTCTAGAACTTCCTCTGAAAGCTGCTCCAGCTTCTTCAACAATTCCTTGATCTAAGGCCAAAGGGAGAGAAAGGGATGCGAGGGCTAAAGCTAGGTTTTAAGCCTAAATCACTGTGCTTAAGAGATCCATAAAACAAAAATGCCGGTGACCTGTGAGCCCCACCTGCCCAAGGACAGAGAGCTTCCTGGGATGCTGGGGCCATTGCTCATGTATACAAGCCACGTGTTTTCGCCTCTGCAAACAAGGCTGGTTTCCAACTGACAGAATGTGCTTGATCACACACAGGCGGGAGGTATGAAGGCAGGAAGGATGTCAGGATGTGTGTTTGCCCCAATTGCACAGAGACAGAAGTACATAGCCTTGGTAAGCAGCGAACATAACTGCCAGCCCCTCTCTGGGAACCCTGGGTATGGATCTGCCCAGTGTCCATTAGCCTGGCCTGCAACTCACTACCTAGACCAGGCTGGCCTCAGACTCACAAGGATCCTCCTGCCTTTGCCTGCACAGGACTGAGATTCAAGGCGGCGTGTGCTACCACAACTTTTGGCTGAGTACTTAACATGTGCCCCAAATTACCCTGAGTGTTTTATATTTTATGTGTCTGGTTGTTTTGCCTGCCTGAGTGGTGTTGGTGCCTGCGAAGGCCAGAATAAGACTTCAAATCCTCTGCAATTGGTGTTACAGATAGTTGTGAGTTACTAGGTGCATGCTGGGAACTGAACTGAGGTCCTCTGAAAGAGCAGCAAGCATTCTTGACTGCTGAGCCATTTGTCCAGGCCCAGTAAAGCAATTTCTTTTCTTTCTTTCTCTTTCTCGTTTTCCGGTGGTGGTGCTGGGGGATGAATCCAGGACCTGGCTCATGCTAGGAAGATGCTCTGCCATTAAGCCATATATCCTCAGGGGTATGAAAAGGCGGCTCAGCAGTTAAAAGTACTGGCTGCTTGTCCAAATTCCCAGCAACCACATGGTAGCTCACAACCATCTATAATGTGGCCTTATGCTCTTCTGGCATGCAGGTGTATATGCAGATAGAGCACTCATATACATGAAATAAATAAATCTCTTTTTTTTTTTAAGCCATAACGTCAAACTTTGTTTGAAACAGGGCTAGCCAGATATTTGGGTGAATCTCTGTGAGTTTGAGGCCAGCCTGGTCTACAAAGTGAGTCCAGGACAGCCAAGGCCATACAGAGAAATCCTGTCTCGAAGGGGGTGGGGGGAGGACTGGGTTTTGGAGAAGTTAAGTTGTCAGGCGGGGTACACAAGCCTTTGCTATCAAACTCAGGCAGAACCAGGCTGAGACCTTTGTGAGCTAAAGACCAGCCTGATTTACTTCTGTAGGCCAGGCAAGGTTTCATAGTGAGACACTGTCTCAAACAAAACAAAAAGTTGTCAAGATGGGTCCGCTATTCAGTTTATTTACCTTTTTGTTATCAGTGCTGAGGACGCAACCTAAGGCCTTCAGACATGCTGGGCAGTCAGTCTGCCGCTGAGCTGTATCTGCCAACCTGAGCTGTCAGCACCCACCCAGTGTGTGTGTGTGTGTGTGTGTGTGTGTGTGTGCGCGTGACATTCTTATTTACTGACTTTCTTGCCATTTATTCACAAAATGCCTCTTCCTTTAACTCCCTTCCATGGTGATGCCTACTTAGGACAACATTTCTCCTGTCAACACATTATACACCAGGTAGACATTCTTTCTGTTCTTCCATTGCTCTAAATTTGGACACATGTACACGGGAAGAAATCTGAATTCATTCATTTAGCCGGTAGCTCTATTACTTCTAGATCCCTTTGCTAATGGGTGGTTTAGAATATATAAAAGAAAGCTCTGTTACCCAACTGCTCTGAGAAAATGGTGGATTGGCTTTGCTTGGTGTCTCTGCGCGGCCTCGAGAGCCCAAGGTGGCTCGGAACTAGCTCTGAAGCTGAAGAGGGCCCTACACCTGGCTCCTGTGTCTGCCTGCTGAGTGTCTGCCTGCACGGTTCTCCACACCGTCCTTCTTGTTTTGTTTCGGGTTTTCCTTTGCTTTGCTGTACTTTTGGCCTGTGGAAATCGCTTGGAGGGCCCACGGCGAAGGGAGCAGGAGGGAAGGACAGCTACAGTTAACCCGTTAGCCTCTGAGCCAGCCCTGAACCTCGGTAAAACCACAGAGCTCATTACATGGCTGGGCTGGGCTAATACGGGATTAAGATAAAATAGTAATTGGCCTTGCTGTTCCCTCGTGGTAGCCCTGGGGGAGAGCTTCTGACTCTCGTGGTAGCCCTGGGGGAGAGCTTCTGAACTCCGAGTACCGAATTTTAGTGGCCACGCCCTCTCCTCGCCTGTAACAAGCTGCTTGTTTTTATCTCTTCTGTCTGTGCTCCACCTCAGTTCCAGTCTCAGCCCCAAACCTCTCCGGCCCTATTCCAGCACAGAGCTGTGCTTGCAAGCGCGCGCGCACACACACACACACACACACACACACACACACACACACACACACACACAC